TTGAGCGCTTTTGTTTTGGAATAATCAACTTTTGTATGTACACTATAATATATATATATACATGTATATATATATATCACTTATAATCCCGAACATTGCATCAGTGCGTCATGGGAAATATATCATATACCATACTCGTTTGTCTGGTTGTATACCTTTATAAGAGTGTTTCCAACACTAACAAACATCATATTATAACTATACCCATATTCTGTCTCATTTCATCACCAGGCAGTGGTACCAAAGGAGGTGCTCGATACATGAAATATGCAACTGAAATAGGACTACTTGAAGCTTATAGAAAACTGAAATCAAAAGACTCTGAAATAGATATCCATACAGGAGGTGTAGAGGTGAAACATCTTCATTTTTTGCTCTCTGGAAAATTATTCCTGATGAACAAGTTTTGAGTTTTGTGTCTGAATATATACACTGTAGTAAACCATGAAATTTATAAATTATTTTTAAACCTAAATATTTATAAATACAATTGGCTTGAGCCCATGTGGTGATGTTATGGATTAATAACATTGATGATGAGATGTGAGATGTGAAAGTGTTGACCAATCACAAGTAATCATAGGCTGTGTATTTGACATGCAAGTATTTTGTGAATGTGGTCTTAAACATGGGTTTGTATCCTTATTTCTACTCAGGTCACCATAGGTCATGAAGACATGTGCTCTAGCCTTCCTCTTGGTTTCAATCATGGATGTAAAGTTGCTATACATTATTCAAACACAACCATGACATTTTGTGGATCTGTGCGTGGCAATGACATCATGCTGTGTTCTATTGACTCCTGTTTATTTGAATGTGGTGCTCTCTTAGCTGGTAATATGGTGTTTTATAGAAGTAGTGAGGCCAATGCATTTCTCCCTGTCACAGGTAAGAATTTGAGAAAAATGATTTGCTGAAATTGGCCATTGGTGGTGCTGGTGATAAGAGTTTATACAGAAAACAACACTATTCCTAGTATGAATTTCTTGTCTGGTTTAATACTATGTGTTTTTTCAGAATCATCCCAAACACCGTCAGCTTAACATTAAATTAATTTACACTAGACCTACATGATGTTTTTTGGATGATTTTATTTTCATGAAGCTTTCAATCAACCAAAAAAAAACACAGGATTTATATAATATCCCTTGATGGTAGGGCTATCCTAATTACCATATGACTTCATAGGTATCCTAATTACCATATGACTTCATCGGTATCCTAATTACCATTTCATTCAAGGTAATGTCACCAGCTTATTTCCACAAACAAAAAACTATTTAGTATGCCCAATTGTCCATCTAAAATTTAAATTCTGTAAATTATTCCTAACTTTGATGTTAATCATCACATTTTTAAACCAAATTACCAAGTGATTTTTACGTTGTATAAGCACACTTTCATTGTGTTTTGGTTTGAAGCATTATACTGTAAGTCATCAGTGTTGAAAGCTATGTACTCTACTACTGTGGAATACTTTATTTTCACTTGGAACTAATTTTCGGTATTTTCGCTGAAGGAATGATTCAGTGAAAATAAAATCCAATGAATATCCCTTTTTTCCTATCTTTTACATTCAACTCGCCAAAAATCAGTACAAATAAATTCCATATTACACACCTAAAAAGTCTTTTCAGCGAAAATAAATTCCAGTGAAAATAAAGTATTTTACAGTATGTCATGGTGGTATATGTAACTGAATAGCGTCCTCATTTTCAAACTTTTTGACTTGTACGTTTGGGGTTACCCTGTCTGTATATATGTTTCATCAGTATCTCAAGAACAGTTGGTTGGATTTCAATGAAACTTGGTATATACATGTAGATACTCTGGGATAATCCAAAGACCTGAATAGTTTTAGCTAAATACCCATGCCTATTAATTCCATAATTTGTATAATAATTAGTAAATTTTCAGCTTTTCCACTGATATCTCAAGTTCCAATCATCACATTTCAATGAAACTTGGTATTTAGATGTTCTTGAATAATGCACAGACCCGGTCAGTTTTGGGTTAAAATCTGTTCATATTAACTACCTAATTTGCATTAACCAATTTTCATCTCTTTTTTCAAAAACAATTTATTGCATTTCAATAAGACGAGTATGGTATATGACCAATATTAGTTGCCAAGCTTCTTGTTTTCATAAATATCATTAGGCAAAAAAAAGAAATTCTGGTATTGAAGTACCGAACCCAGTGAAGTTGTTTCTGTGCAATTCTTGATCTGATATACCAATAGAAACTGATCAGATCACCTTGTCACATGTGCATACATGTGCCATCACAGTTTTATCCTTCATAGGTTTTGACACTGATATAATACTTTTGCCATTAATACATGTATGAAGCATTAATATAATTTTAATTTAATAACAAACGTTTATACAAGGACAAACACTATTTATATAAAAAGTTAACTAAATATAATAATGACATCATAGGAATAAAAATAGGTAAGAAACAGGAAAAAATTCATGCCTAAAATTCATTTTTTTGTGCATTTCTAGAATTATCTTCTGAATCTAGTTGTCAGATTGAAGCCTTTGCAAGCACCACACCTGTGTACAATCAGAAATGGACAATCCTCTACCTGAATCAACCACAGAAACATCTGGAACCAATCAGGAAGCATGTTGCTTTTCTAATGCAAATTTCTATGTGAGTTTTACATTGATGTGATATTAATAATTTTAATTAATGTTATACCAAGAACATTATTTTGTATATTGATTTTTTAATGATAGTCAGTTTTAAATATGTTTCTGTAAGCATCAGTTATTTCATTCTCACTGTGGGTGCACTACTGTGATGTATTGTATCATAAAACATGTGGTTCATATTATTTCACTATACTGTACATTTGTAGTGATGCTAAGAGACATGTGAAAGGATACATATTGGTGACCCAATCACAGCCAGTAGTCAGGTAGTAAAAACATTCACTGTAGGATTTGAGGGAATTTAGAGGAATGTATCAATGACCCAATCATGCAATCATGCGTAAATTAGGGGTAGAGGGGGAGGGCATAAATCAAACTTATTTTTATTATCAATTAGTGATGCTATAATAACATTATTATTTAAAACTGTCATTGTTTTTTAATGTCACTTTGTAAGTTTGTACATTATGTAAATTAGTATAATACATGTACAAATTAACCACAAATAGGTCACATTTTTTTTATGAGAAGTCTGTACAGTATTTTATAGTTATCATTTTGTTTTGTCAAATTATATTTTTTTTGTTACTTTTAATTTTGTTCTTGATTAAGTTTTCATTTTTGATCTCTGGCAGATGTCATACATCTCTCACTGTATCTCCATACATTGGAGTGTACTATAACTGTTCTGTATTGCATGGGTTATCTGCATCCTATCTTTTTAGGAGAGGCAAATTCCAAATATGGAATGATTATGCAATATTTCCAAGATGGCTGACATGTTTGAAAATGCAGTTCATAAGCAGAAAGTTGTCCTCACCATCTTACTAAGTTTACATACAAAGTAGTCGGAAGATGTATAATAATAATAATATTATTAACAATAATAATGTTCATCACTGTACTGCCTTTGTACATACTTTGTAATATTATTTAATGCATTATATAATTTAGGTGTAAGTTTTCATTTGTTCTGTAATTTTGTACTGTTCTGTATTAAGTCTAGTTTTAACATTTATTGCACTCAGTATGATTCATATTTGGGGGATTTTGTGGTTTCAGTGAAATATAATCTAACCCCAGCTAATATATAACATGGTCGTCTATGGACTGAACTAAAACAAAAACAAACAAACAAATAGAAAATACAACATCATACCGTGAATAAAAATATGAGATCACAATGTCAAGAATTGATATATATATAATTATGTGTCATCCACTTAAATTTAAAATTTATGAATGTTTGTGTGTGTTATGCAAGAAAAGTCATTGTTTGAAATCAGTTGGTAAAAACGGTGTATAAAACTGGTAAATTTTTCTGATCGTTGTGCCTGGTGAATACAGAATGATGAGCCACATTCATTCAACATTTGTCCTTTAATTGGAATTGGAATTGGAAATGTATTTCATCCTCAGAAATCCTCAGTATTTCATCCTCAGTTAAAATTTCCAGTTTCAATTTTTAAAGGAAGAATACCAACTCTAAACCAAACCAAGAAAGACCTTTTTGTCTCTGACAAATTAGAATTCAGACATTGTTTTTTTGGTAAACATGAGTATG